CTTCCCTAGAGCCTATGGTCTGGTCATTTAATTATTCTTTAGTTAAAGAAGTATTTTTATCCTGTTCCTCAGCCAAAAAGTTGACTTACAAACCATTGGTTGAACCAAACGCTCACACATTAACAGTGAAAAATGGTACAACATAAAAGAAAAAAAAAGGGTTGGGAAGGGAAGAGGAAGAAGCTGAGAGATCTTTCAGCCAGACGGGTGGGACCGCCCAGCCATTCTCCTCATCTTTCTCTGTACAGTTCATTTGAACCACTATTGTCCTCTTTTTGGAACCAGGTTAAGATGGCCCTCTCCTCCCCAGGGTTGGGGGTCTTTGACAGGACAACTGTTTTAAATCTTGTCTTCCTATTATCTTTCTATCTGTATTGCCACCCATTGTTGTTATTTTGCAGACAAACTGCAGACACTTCAGAGAAGGGTAACAAAGATGATCCAGGCTCTGGAAATGAAGCCCAGTGAGGAGAGATTGGAATTGCTGGGCATGATTAGCCTGAAAAGGAGAAGACAGAAGGCAGTTATGATTGCACTTTAGAAGCTCTTGAAAGGCTGTTACACAAAGCGGGGCCAGGATCTCTTCTCAGGCATCCCAGAGTACAGGAATAATGGGCTCAAGTTATAGGAAACCAGAATAATGGGCTCAAGTTATAGGAAACCAGATTCCAGCTGGACATCAGGAAAAGCTTCCTAGTTGTTCAAGCAGTACGGCAATGGAGCCAATGGCCCAGGAAAGTTATGGGCTCTCCCACACTACAAGCATTCAAGGTAGAACAGGACAGTTACCTGAGAGGGATGGATTAACTTGGAGTCCCGGACTGAGAAGGGGTTAGACTCAATGGCCTTCTTGCCCCCTTCCCACTTCCCTTCCCATGATGCTCTGATTGTACCTCTGCTGATAAAATGTTGTGTACTGCTCAGAGAGCATTGTCTATTTGGTGGTATAAGAAAGATAATAATAACAATAATAGGCCCTGATTTTTCCATTTATGCTAGATCTGAAGAGTGGGGGAAAGTATTTCCTTCGTATTTAATGCAGGAAGAGAGAAGTATGTGTTTTTCGAAATTGCCATTCCCCTAAACAGAAAGAAATGTTATTAAGTGATAGCCAAGACTAGCAATTTTCAAGTGATCCAAGGGGGAGTGGGGTGGAATCTGAGAACTGCTTTTCTCTGCAGTCTCAGGGTGAAACTAGACCTAAAGAAGAAGGACCTACCTGGATCGTCCTTTCTATAAGTTTTGATGAAAAGCATCATGGCTGGCTGGGGGCTTGCAACCCCCACCCCCCCATTCCTTGAATAGCAACAGCAACAGATGCCATGAAGAAGACAAATTACATCACAGCAGGATCTTTCCAGTAAATTCTTTGTCAGGGAAGGTCAACTTTTTTACAGGCTTTTCTTTCAACCCCATTCTGTATTTGCCATACTATAAATAAAAATGTTTCATTGTGTGAACAAAATCAAAAGGCCACCACCTTTTTCCCCTCCCTTCTCTGACAACCACTAATAATCCCTCCATCTGCCTATTTTATTGAGTCCTTCAAATTATATAACAGTATAATTTGTACAAATGTATACTATTTGTACAAATATTTGCATTTGTACAAATACTATTTGTCTCTGTATAAATGTATAAATGTACACTATTTGTACAAATGTATGCTGTCTGTATGTATTTGTATTCATGTGTCCTGTTACTAAATTATGTAACAGTTCTGGAAAAAATGCCTTTTGCAGGGTTCAGACATCAATGTCCTTTTGGAGGCTCTGTGTATGAGTGTGTGTTTTGGATAGTTCCTTATTTTAGTTGAAAGATTTTCATAAAGTGGGGGAAATGCATTCCGGTGTACATCCAAATTTATTCATTCCAAATCTTCCTACTCAACCCCATTAAAAAAAACCCTGAAAGCTTTTCAAAGCTTCCTATAGATACTCACTGGATTCACATGACGCCACAAGCCACGGCTGGCTGTTATTCTTGTTTGCCATGCTGTCCAAACCCAGCCATGATGCCCAACCTTTGTTAATGGTTGTGCTAAGGCACAACAACCTGTCCTGGTGTTTGTCCCTACCAGGATTCCTTGTCGCTTCGCCCAGACCTGGACCACACAACCCATCCTGGATCAGTCTCCAAAATAAGTGAGCCTGCTGGTCGCAGCTCATGCCAATTGGCTGGCCAGCAAGCACAGCTGACCTGCCTGAGAGACCTGTTCTTGGGCAGAATGCGGAAGCCAGAGATGCACCTGGCAGGGCTGCCCAGCTCTCAGGAGGTAAGAGCTAATTATCAGCTCAGTGGCGCTGCCTCAAGGACAGGAGAGGAGCACCAAGCAGATCAGTCCCCTCGCCTTCCACTCCAACAGGAGCAAAGGCAAGGGCGCCCAGTCAGCTCCCTGCTACACTTTAGGGTCTGAGCCCTGCTTGGGCAGGGAGGGTCCTCTGGCAGACTTTGTGAGGTGCAATCGGTTCACACTTGCAGCTGCTCAAGAGAGACGCCTCGCTTGTCATGGGCGCTTGGCCTTTGACAGCAGCTCAGCAAGGCGATTTGCTATGATGGCTGCTGTTGTGTGCAAATGCACCCATATGACAATATGTTAAGTTATCAGAAATGAAGAATGTTCTTTTGCCTGTCTATATGTACACACAGGCTCAGAAAGAGGGGGGGAGGAATGGCATATGAAAAGATGTGCTGTTTCCTTTTTCCTAAAAGTTTTCCCTAATCTTCATCATCAGGATAAGAATCAAAGACTTCCAGTAGTGTCACAGCACAATTATAGGGACTGGCAGCTACAACACCTGTAAGCAAATCCAGACTACCTGAAGGGGTCTCATGGCCCTGTAGTGGCTAACTTAAAATCAAAAGAGGAAAGAAGAAAATGGCACTGCAGGGAGCAGATTTTGCAGGTAGGCCACTTTATGGGGTCACCCCCATTCCAATTCTTATAGCATTCCTCCATGAGGACTAGTAGCTGACTGAAACCAAGCCACCATGAACGCTCCAAGCTCCTCATACCAGCTTAGGCAGTTGCTCCATCTAGCTCTGCATTCCCTACTGTCTTCCCAGCACCTGCTACCTAAGGTCCTTGCACCAAGAAATTGAACCCCACCTCATGTTGAGTGAGGTGGCTCTCCCCTCAACACCGCTGCAACCAGTGGGGAATAATAGTTCCGTGCCTGATCCACAGCACACCCTCCTGGTTTCCTTCACATAGCGAAGCAGACATGGATTCACTCCTGTTTTTGTGTTTGGTGCTGTTTCAAGTGAAAACCAGAGCACATTCATTTTAATAATATCATCAGTACACCTGGCTGTACAGGATATTTTTCCAAATACACCTGAGGTTTGTACTCCACAGCTGAGATTCATACTGATTTGAAAAGTCTGCATATACATATTTTCACTGCACACGTTTCATTCCACAGGCATGATTATATTAAGCCCAGGCGAGTATCAGGGTCTTAATGGTTGCTGATTATTCCAGAGAGAGCCAGATTGGTTCCAATGGTTGCAACAGATGGGTTTGCAAAGCAAAGCCAGCTCTGGGAATCACTGAACACATGGTTGCTGATATGATAATAGCAGCAGTGACGATTTGTCAAAGCACAAATTTTATGCATCATCTCCATTGCAAAGTTCAGAAATTAGCCTTGTGGGGTCATAAACCCTAGACTTTTGAGGACATTCCCATAACACATCCTTAGAAAATAGACCTAAAGTCTCCTAGGGAGCAATCCTATTGCACTCAGACTGTCTGAGATATTTTGGATTCCCAGCTCTGCAGTCAGAGTGCAGCACCCTCATAGCTGCGAATAGAGCTCTGCTCCCCATTGCCGCTCATACAGAAACGACCACACTGGCTGCCTCTCTGAGCTCAGGAACATGGCCTTGAAGAAGGGTGAAAGTAGGTGTTTTGATGGGCGAGCAGGCGAGGAGAGTGGAAAGGCAGGGTGTGAGCCATCTCAGGGCCTCCCTAGCCTCCTCCTCTCACTCAGAGATTATTTAGTAGGTATGCAACTTGATTTCCATTTCAAGAAAATCTGGGCAAATGGGCAAGAAATCACCTCTGCCACTCCTTCCACCCTGCATAGGATGTTTTTAAGGAGTGAACCCTTAGAAACACAGAAACATAGAAAGAGAGTGAGTCAGAAGGGGTCTCCAAGGCCATCTAGTCTGACCCCTGGCTCCAGCCAGCTCTGCTCATGACATGTCCACTATGTGCATGTCTAGCCTATCCTTGAACATCCTCACCAATGGGTCCTCAACCACCTCCCGTGGAAGCCCATTCCACACCCTCGGGGTCCTAACTGTCAGGAAGTACTTCCTGGCATCCAGATCGAACCTTGATTCCCTGAGCTTTGCTCCACTGGAACGTGTCCTGCCCTCCTCCACAAGGGACAACAGGTCTCTACCCACCCTTTCGCATACAGATTCCCTCAGAGTCTCCTCCTCTACTCCAGGCTGAAAAGACCCACATCCTTCAGTCTTGCTTCATACGGCTTTCCCTGCAAACCCGCCACCATCCTTGTGGCCCTATGCTGCACTGACTCTAACCTGGCTATATCCTTCCTGTAATGGAATTTACTTGCATTTGGGGACCTTCACAAGCCAGTATAATAACCACTGATGTTGCCACATTTCATGGAGGAACAGGGACTTCTGGAAACACCTGAGCTTTTTCTAGTGGCATCTCAGGGTCAGATCAAGGTTCGAAGAGCCTTTGGCAAAGAAGTATGATCTAGGTCTAAAGGAGCAGGATCCTAGGCAGTGTGTCCTCCAATAGACCCAAGGATATATGAGGCAGTTGTTGTGGGGGTTTTTGACTGGTGTTCATCTGGTTCACACCTCCCAGAACTGAATATGGACTTGAACTCAAAGTCAAAGTCAATACAAGTTTTTGTTCTTGCAATGCAGCTCATGGAAGAGAAAAGGCATTCAAAAGCACACACAAAAAAGCAAAAACACCATACAAACTTTTCAAAACAAGCAAACAAAAAAACCCCCAGATACAAACACACTTTAATCAATGGGAGGAAAGGCATATCTGTCCAAAATGCCCACATACTTGTGGAATACATGAAAACTTATTTACAAAGGGCACACAATTTTTGTGCGGAAACTAAACGAACAAAAAAAACCAAGTTGGAAGTCTGATATGGACACGAGGTGGAATAAGCGTCCGAGTGGAGTTTGGAGGATCTCAATGAGCTCCTGCTTTGCTGGCGCTCACAGCCCTTAGTGCCCCACGTCCTCTGTCCGTGAGCTTACCTGACTGTGGTACCAGTGCTCTGAGCAGTGCTTGGCAGCTGGGCTTGGCCCTCTCTTCACTTCCTGCAGTGCCCCAGAACAATGCTAGGTCAGGACATGGTGAAAAATGAGAAGGATTGCTTGTTCCAACTTGGAGGTGCGCCTCAGGCTGCTGAGCCAGAAAACTACAGTGAAGATGGGCCTGGGCAGGCATCACTGCCAAAGTGCTGATTCCATGGGAGGAAGCAAGCAAGCTTTCCATTGGTGAGGGAGTTGGAGCATCAGGGTTCACCATGGATCCTTGCTCTACTGCCCTTTACCAAGATGTAGCACTGCAAGATAAGCCATTATATGCAGAAATACTGTTCAGCTGCATGATTGGTTGATCTTGAAAGAAAATTGGGGGTTCCTCAGTTTAGAATGCTGCCTTTTCCTAAGGAGTGTGTGCACCCAGCTCCCCGCTATAAAAAGAGGTTAACATCACACAGATGAGTGACCCCTGCCAAGTTTTTTGGGGGGATGCAGAGAAATGCTTTTTCCATGCCCAGGCTCCTCAGCGCCCGTGCCACTTTCTCGCTCCTTCGGTAATGGAAGCCATGTGAATTCCTTCCCAGGATGCATTTCCTCTTCTGCCTGCTGCTTGGTGGAGCGGTGCTCGTGGGTTGCTTCACATCTGGCAACATTCTTCATGGCAGCTTTACAACAACAACACAGACTCCAGCCCTTCCTATGTTGACTGGAACTTCCTAAAATACAGGAGATGTTTCATTAACAACATCTTTCATGGTATATGCCCCAGAGAAGAGGGGGTTTAGGCATTCCCAATGTGAAATTTTATTATATAGCTAATTAATTGGGGCTGTCCTAATACATGTATTTCTGCATTCTTGCATACAATACCCATTTTTGCAAGCAATTATCCTAAAATTATGCGTGTTTTATTTGCCTCAATGTGTGCATTTTATGTTTTTTTTTAATTGGAGCACTCCTTTGCAAAATTTAGAGAACCATGAAATTCAGTGAAGAACTGAGCGTTAGCTCACATTGTGGTTGGAAACTGTAACATGGGTGTGTTTCGAATAAAATGTGAACTGGACAGATCTCTGCCCCATCCCTAAGAAAACACGGAGTCACTGAAGGACACAAGACACCTTTGAACAGCTGAAAAAATAAAACTGACAGGCAGGAATATATACTGTATATGCTCACTGAGAGCGGTGAGACAAATAGAAGGGAAATACCTCTGTCCATTCATTGTTTTGTGCGTCGTAGGATTCCACTGTGTCCAGGTAGGTGTGTCCATCATAGCCACCAACTGCATATAATCTGTCCCCAAGAGGACAGATTCCCACAGCATCCCGAGGAACGCTCAAAGGTGCTACTGTAGTCCAAGTGTCTGTTTTTGGATCATATCTGGAATATGTTGCAGGCAAAGTCAATCAATAGTTATTTAAGGCTAGCTTCGAAAAAAAAAACACACCTCAGATGTCAGTTAAAAGGTAAAGGTAAAGGTAAAGGTTTCCCCTTGATGTTAAGTCCAGTCATGCCTGACTCTCGGGGGCGGTGCTCATCTCCACTTCCTAGCCAAAGGAGCCGGCGTTTGTCTGCCGACAGTCTCCATGGTCATGTGGCCAGCATGACTAAACACCGAAGTGCACGGAACGCTGCTACCTGCCCACCGAAGTGGTACCTTTTCATCTACTTGCATTTGCATGCTTTGAACTGCAAGGCTGGCAGGAGCTGGGACAGAGCAACGGGAACTCACCCTGTTGTGCAGATTCGAACCGGTGACCTTTCGATCGACCAGCCCAGCAGCACAGCGGGTCAAACCACTGTGCCACCTGCAGTCCCAGATTTAGGTTAGTAAAGTCTTATTATGTTGGTCTTTTTATAGATCTTTATGCAATTATTAGAAAAGAGCTCAGCTGAAATGCTTCCCTTCAGTTTAGCTATGCCATTCATAGGCATGCATACTGGTCCTCACTGGTCCAGGATGGAAATGTGAAAAAAATGTGGATTTTTCACTCCACTTACTACCCGTGGCATTTCACTTTCTTCACTGGTGTTAAATGTCACTTTCTCAGCAACGGCCTTCTGGTCCAACTCCTCCAGATGCAATGTTGTATCCTTCCCTTACTGTGATGGCATTGCTTTGAGGTCAGTTCAGAGTGAGGACAGAAGGATCGCTTCCCACTTTTGCCCTCACTCTGAGCTGGCCTCAGGATGACATTGACATGACAGCAGAAAAAGAAAGTCACGTTTCCTGTTCAAGTAGGGAAGAAGGAATGGATGTAACTTCTGTGGGGGGATAACACACAACAGAAAGAGAGTGGTCAAAGAGATGGAGGTAGTGGCAAAATGAGCGAGCAGGAATAGTACCATTTTGGGAAATCCATCAGACCCTTGTAAAGTGTAGGGGGTGGGGAATCCTTTTGGAAGCTTTGGTGCTCTTCTGTCAGAGGAAACCTGGGAATCTGATCAGGCCTTTCTTAGCCACTAGAGGGCTCTGTAGACTCAAGATTTAATCCTGTCTTGCGGGCACTGCAGACAGGTTCTATTGAGCAAAACTACAGAATTGCTATGCAATGAGAATATCCTTCCAGCCTGCAGTTCCAATCAGTTATTTCAAATTCCCTTTCTTTTCCAAGGATAATCAAGTAAACATCCATGAAAAACCAAAGCAACTCTTTTATAGCTGCTATTAATCTCAGTGTGTTGTTAAAAGCTAATAACAGCATACTAGTGCACATCAAAGGTTGCAAGAATTTGACACCTTTATGTCCTTACCTTTCTACACAATCAGAAAGTCGGGAGCAGTGGTTTGAAGCAGGAGCATCATGGCCTCCCACTGCATACAGAAACCCATTATAGGTTGCCACACCAACGCCTCCTCGTCGCTTTGACATTGATGCACAAATGCTCCATTTGTTTGTGTGGGGGTCAAAGCACTCCATGGATTTCAGGCAGGAGCTGCCATCTCGCCCACCAACTGCATACAACCTAGGGCAGCAAATCACAGGAGGACAAACATCCCATCCAATCCCACACACTTTAAGCAAAGAAAGTGGGAAGGTTTCTAGCGGAAGCCCGCCCTACTATCAGAGGGCTACCAACCAATTCTCCCCTCACAATGTTGCCGTGCCTCATTCCCTGGATTTTATATGGGTGGAGAATTCACACAAAGGCAGATCTGTCTTTTTTCTTACTCAGGAAAATCCATCAAGGAAAAAAGACACAGGAGATGCACACGAGCCCCTGGCCATTCATGCGCGGTCCCTTTGCTGGAAGTGCCCTCAGTGACACCCTCAGTTTCACTGCTTGAAGGGCCTGCCTCTTACTTCTGACCCCGTGGCTGTGACTTTTCCTACAAATTATCTTTAGAAGAAAACAGCCTCCAAAGTTTGTGTGTGGGGGGTGGTGGTGGTTGTGCCTGTGTGTTTACTTTATGTTTATAAATAACTGTTCATCCTCAAAGTAGAACACGCAGTATTAAAAGTAAACATTATGCATCAGAAGACAAAGGAAAGATCCTCTCTTCAACCAGACACCAACCTCGACACCAAAGCAGAACCATCTGTTCAGTATCTAGATCTAGATCTAAACAGATACAGATATGGATGACATAGATATCTATCTATACAGATTATATATAGAGAGATATCTATCTCTATAGATTATATATATATAGAGAGAGAGAGAGACAGAGAGAGAGAGAGAATCTATAACTATATCTAATTAATTCAAATATTCAAGTGTTAAAATGCTTGGGCACAAAAGAAAGATTTGTCCCTGGTGCCGCAGAGAAAACCAAGTTAATGCCCATCATAGCACTCTGAGGAGGGCAAAAAAAGCCCTCCTCTTCTGGAAGTGGGCAGTGCTTGCATCTGGTATCTGGGAAGGGCTTCACAGAAGGTCTTTGCATGTGGGCCGCAGCAAGGGGAGAAGGAGCAGTCAGTCGAACGTACTTGCTATTCAGCGCTGCGACACCCACAGTGCTCCTCGGGGTCGCCATGCTGGCAACGTAATTCCACTGCCGGGCCTGCGGGTCCCACCGCTCAACCGTGTTCAAGTAACTCCAGCCATCATGGCCTCCCACAGCATACATGGGTCCTTCCAGCATTGCTACACCTTGGGATGACAAGGGAGGTTGGGAAGCAAACAAAGGGTCTATCAACAATGTTGGCATGTGTTGATTATATTTTTATTCACCCAATGATTCCATGGCAGCTTTCAGCACCATTGTTTCTTTGGAGAACTCTGGATTACAAAGCAAAAGAGAATAAGGGGTCTGCATAATCATCACAACAGTAATGTGATAATGCAACCAAGATGTACAACCATCTCCTGCAAATCCCAGGCACTGAAGTGGGAAGGAGGGAGCTGGAAAGCTCTGTGCACAAACTCTGGAGCTAATGCATCACCTGGAACATATTTCCTGTGATGTTTGATCTCTGGGAGCTTGCTCACTTAGGCCAGCTGGACGAACAGCAAGCCTGCATTGCTTTTTCAAGGAGCAATGGAAGAAATTGCCCTTGCTAAAGAGAATGACTGGTATCCTATTGCACCTGAAATCCTGGAAACGAGCACTCCTGCACTGTCCTAAAAATTACCTTACATTGGGAAAAATTCTCATTCTTGTCATCAGATTTTCTTGCCACTTCTGGGATTATTTTCAGAAGAAAGCCCCACCATGAGTGGTCATTGCTGTTACTTCAAGAAAACTAGTGGAGATGGGCAGACCTGGATGCCACCCAAGATCTCCAGATGCACTAGGTATCAATTCGCTTGTGCAATTGCATTTTTCCATACCTCACCCCATTCCTGAGCTATTTTGATCCTTCCTCTCCTGTGTGTGAACCTGCCCACAGTTAGCAATCCCTGGAAAATCACAACACTGCTGGATTCAGGGGACAGCCAACGCACTGTCAACCTTACCTAAGCCATGCCGGTGGGTCGACATGGGAGGCATCACGGTCCAGACTTTGGTGACAGGATTGAAACATTCCACTGTGTTGGCTGTTTTCAGGCCATCTCTTCCCCCCACAATGTAAAGCTTGTTGTCAATCACGGCAACTCCAAACTGCAGCCGCCTCCCATTCATGGTTCCAATTTGAATCCAGCTGTTGGTTCTCAAGTCATATTTCTCAATTGTGGTGGTGCCTGTTGAAAACATAAACAGTAAATTGGATGGTACACATACAGAAGTCCTGAATTTCCAAAGTGATTGCTCTGCCACTCAAAGGAGTTTTAATTGATTCAACAATTAATTAATTTGCACCTAACTAAAACAATATTTCTGAAGGGTGCTTTTCTTGTTTTTAGAACAGGCTTCCTCAGCTGAGGAGCAATCTAAATTAGGCAGTTTGCTTGTCCAGGATAACAGGTGCTTCTGTTGTTACGAATGCTGGAAGTTGAAGGCCAAAGCATCTGAAGGTCTACTCGCTGCACACTCTGGCTTTAGACAAGCATTTTGGAGTGTGTGCAATGTTTGCAGGTGGAAAAGCAAGCATATCAAAGGGAACTACATGCTTATAATTAGTATGGAAAAGGATTGATAATTGGGATAATTTGGAATGGGGAATGCCCAGAAGTGGCATGTAGCTAAGAACAGTCTATTTACATATATTTTTGAGCCAAGAATGGCATTGCAGCATTCAGGAACTGCAAAGTGATGGGTAATTAAATTTGGATCCAGATAGTAGTCCTGGAATTATACAGAGAAATCTAATATAGTGTTCTGTCCATGGCAAAAGTCTCAAAGGCTGAATTTCAGTGGGCATGTAGCATCTAAAACGTGCCCTTATGTCTTGCTTAGGGACTTTTCCCCTTCTTGACCTCTAACAAATTATATGCTTCAAGCTTGGCTGACATGAGCAAGGAAGTCTGGGCCCTTGTGTTTCTGCATTGTGCATAAATGCTTTTAATGAAATTTCCTTTCTAGCATTATGGTTAGGTGCTTACTTACCCAGGTCTCAAAAGAATGCACTTTTTTTAAAAATGTGTGACTCCTGTGAGTCACTTCTGTGAATCATTTTCTGGCTGCAGTCGCCTCTAGAAGAGCTCTGTTTAGTGCCTGGCCAATAGGCAAGGTGGGCATAAAGGAACTGTGAACTAATCATTTGCACATTCTTCTTGCAAGCCTCCAGAATTTATTTAATGGTTTCCTTTCTTAGGGGGTTATGAATAAAATATTATTAAAATAAACAGCCAAACACCTCTTTGTTAAGCAGAGTGCTGGTTATTAATAAAGGGCAGCCAGTAAAAGTTTCATCAAAGGGAAGTAACAGTAAGGATGTATTATTATTATTATTATTATTATTATTATTATTATTATTATTACTACTACTACTACTACTACTACTACTACTACTACTACTACTACTACATTTCTATGTAGCCTCGTGATTCCTGGAAATCTTTAGTGTTTTTCAACAAGATGCCCACCTGCTTTTGGAGAAGGGAAGAGAGCTGTGTCTAAAGGCATGTACCAGGTGTGTCCAGAATATAACAAGAATGAAGTTCCTACGCTCAAGAAGGGCTCTGTGAAGCTGGCCAAGGTCACTTGGGGTGGGGTACCAGGTATACTTCGGAACACTGATCAGTTGCATTCCAGCCCTGTCAGAGTTGAGACATTCTCTTTTGTGACACCCTGTTCAAGTGCCTCGTTTTAAGAAAAATGTGAGTTTGGATCAGCAGTACATGATAAAATTTTGTGTGAAATTGGGTAAAAGTGCATCAGAAACCTTGGAAATGGTGAGGAAAGCTTATGGAGAAGCTGCGCTGTCATCTGCACCAATGGCACAAGGCCTTCAAGGAAGGATGAGAAGGTGTTGAAGAGGAACAACAATCAGGACACCCCTCTTCATCGAAAAAGGAGCAGAGTGTGTGTGCAGTGAGGACTGTTCTGAACCGTGATCCACACTATCAGAGGATTGCAGAGGAAATGGGAATTATCAAGTCCATTGTTCATGAAATCATGACTCCTGGATCCGTCATTGCGACAACACACCAAGTCACGGTGCTTTGACTGTCAGAGAATTTTGGGCTGAAAAACACATCACGGTGCTTCCCCATCCATCCTACAGCCCTGACTCGGCTCCTTGTGACTTTCGCACACTCCCAAAGATGAAGAATGCTTTGAATTAAAAAATTATTTTTGAATTATGAACACCTGCTTCAAGCAGCAGAAACGTCTCTTGAACATGTGGACTTCACCAAATGGGCTACACAGAAATCGAACAGGCTATGTCCTTTGCAACTATCATTGGACTAGTTCAATCCACGCTGTGAAGACATATCCAGGTGCTGATTGTGGCTCGAATCATGAACTATGGGTGGCCAAAACCAAAGTGAAATTACCTAACACCAAAAAGATAGCAACACCCAAGAAGTTTGTCACCACCAAAATCTCACCCGTGTATGCAGCTGAGATAACAGGTTTGAGGTGTTGGAAATGGAGGAAAGGTTGCCAGACTAACTACGGCAAGACATTCAACATTATTGAAAGAGCTGTTAAACATATAAACCTTTTTATTTAAGCAGTATTTTAAATGTTAATATTATTGAATTTTATTTGGCCAGGGCGGCTTGTTTTATAGTGTATGTTTTATATTATATATTTGTATTTTATTGTATATATTTTAAAATGTTATTTTAATTTTTTGTTGTAAGCCGCCCCGAGGCTTCGGCGAATGGGGCGGCATAAAAATGTTTTAATAAATAAATAAATAAAATAAATAAAATATGCCAAATATGAAGCCACAGGAAAGGTCCAGGTGGCTTTCAGACAAAACATTCAAGAAAGCTGATCGAAGAAAATTAGCCAAAGCAGCAGGTGACCAGGAGAAAGCAACGAAATGAAATGTGGATTTTCAGAAGGCAGCCAAGAAAGACAATTAAATTTACTGGGATCGGAAATGCACACTGCTAGAAAAGAACTGCAAGAAGGGTTATACCAGGAACGCATATGCACAAGTGAAACAATTTCAAACAGCTTTTGGCACATGCAAAGCCATCATAAAAAACTAAGAAGGAAAAAAAACTGTCTGATCAAAAAAACATCAAGAACAGATGGCGAGAATGTACTGAAGAGCTATATATCAAAAGCAGTGGGATTGAAGCACACCAAGATAATGCGGGAAATGAAACTGAAATAGAAACAGAAGCAGCTATTCTTGAGGGAGAAGTCCCATCAGCAATAAGTCAGCTGCTGCATGACAAAGCACCAGGCATTGACAACATCCCCGCAGAGTTGCTGAAGCATGTACCAACTAGAACCATAACAGCCTTATGCCAGAATATGGCCAGAGAACTGGAAGCACCCAAACTTCATTCCCATTCCAAAAAGGGCAACTCAAAGGACTGTTCTAACTCCCACGCAATTGCCCTCATACCTCATGCTAGCAAAATTCTCCTTAAAATTAAATAGCAGCATCTGGCATCTGGCATAGAAAGGGAGCTACCTGAAGTTCAAGCAGGCTTCCAAAGAGACCGGGGTACCCATGACCATACTGCAAATTTGTGCTGGATTATGGAGAAGTTTCAAGAATACCAAAATGGCTTTCATCTGTGCTTTTTTGACTACAAGAAAGCCTTTGACTGCGTTGATCATGACAAGTTGTGGAAAGCACTAAAAGACCCAAGGGTACTGACATATCTGGTCAGAATGCTCCAAAAGCAGCTGTAAGAACAGGATAAGGAAACATGGATTGGTTCAAGGTTGAGATAGAAGTCCAACAAAGATGTATTTTTCCCCTTTTCTGTCCAACTTGCATGCTAAAAATCTTGGGATAAAAATCAACTTGGGATAAAAATCAAAGGAAGAACTGTCAATAACCTTTGATCTGCTGATGACAGAACCCTCCTCTCAGAAACCCAGGAAGGTCTAAAATGATTGATCCACAGAATTAAAGAAGAGAGTAAGAAGTTCAGCCTCCTTCTGAACATCAAAAAGACAAAGATCTTGACAACTGCACAGAATGAAGTCATCAAAATAGCAGTTGATAATGCAGAAATTGAATGTGTAAGAGGAACTCACTTTCCTGGGATCACTGATTACTTGCAGGGGTGAACACAGTCCAGAAATAAAGCAATGCATTTCACCAGGTCATATGGCAATGACAAGCATGAATCGAATGTGGAAAAACAAGAACATCAGCTTGGCAACCAAGTGCAGACTGGTCTGAGTGATCATTCCTATTGCAACCTACGGTTGTGAAAGTTGGACAATGAAAAAATTAGACAAGAGGAAATTTGACTCATTTGAACTGTGGTGTTGGCAGAGGCTCCAGTGCATTCCATGGCCAGCAGGAGTTACAAACAAGCAAGTGCTACAACACATTAAACCAGATGTGTTTCTGGTCAGCAAGATAACAGGGCTGAGACTCACATATTTTGTCACATCATGCAATCAAGCTCATTAGAAAAAGATGTAATGCTTGGAATGCTGAGCAGCAAGAGAAAACCAGGTTGCCAAAGAGTGAGGTGGATAGATTCCATCAAAGAGGATGTGGGCCAGAGCATAGTTCAGCTAAAAGAGGTGGCACAGGATCGGAAAGTGTGGCAAGATTTAGCCCATAGGGTTGCTTATAGATGGACACAACTGAACAGCTGAACAATAAATAAGAACCATCCCTTTGAATTTTGTCCAATAAACTTGGTCATAAACTTCCCAAACAGTTCAAATTAGCTGGCTTGTTAGTTAGTGTAGACTAGTTGCTGTTCCTTAGAAATGGGCTATAGTGGCCACACCAAAACTGCTTCTTTAAACTTGCTTTCACATTCGGGGGGGGGGGGGTCACAGTAGCTGCCCCTTCATGGATCACAGCCTTGCTGTGGCTAAGGGGCTTGTGTAGCCCAATGAAGCTATGAGCTATGCCATGCAGGGGCACCCAAGATGGACTGGTCATAGCAGAGAGCTCTGACAAAAGGTGATCCACTGGAGAAGGAAATGGCAACCCACTCCAGTATCCTTGCCATGAAAACCCCATGGACAGTACCAAAAGGAAAAACGATACGACGCCAGAAGATGAGCCCCTCAGGTCGGAAGGTGTCCAATATGCTACTGGGGAAGAGCAGAGGGCTAGTACTAGTAGTGTCAGAAAGAATGAAGCGACTGGGTCAAAGCTGAAAGGACACTCAGTTGCAAATGTATCTGGTGCTGAAAGGAAAGTCCAATGCTGCAAAGATCTATACTCCATAGGAACCTGGAATGTGAGATCTATGGATCAAGGTAGGCTGGATGTGGTCAAATATGAGATGACAAGACTGAACATTGACATCTTTAGTGAACTAAAATGGACAGGAATGGGTGAATTTAATTCAGATGACCATCATATATACTAGTGTGGACAAGAATCCCTCAGAAAAAATTGAGTACCCATCATAGTCAATAAAAGAGTAGGAAAAGCAGTACTGGAATACAATCTCCAAAATGACAGAATGATCTCAGTTCGAACCCAAGGCAAACCATTCAACATCACAGTAGTCCAAGTCTGTGTCTCAACCACTGATGCTGAAGAGGCTCAGTGAATGGAGACCTATACAGTTCCATGAAGGCTTACAACACCTTCTAGAACTAACACCAAAATATGATGCCCTTATCACCATGGGGGAATTGGAATTCTAAAGTAGGAAGCCAAAAGATAACCAGAATAACAGGCAAGTTTGGCCTTGGATACAAAATGAAGCAGGGCAAAGGCTGGCAGAATTTTGTCAAGAGGACACGCTGGTCATAGCACTCTTTTCCAACAACCCAAGAGATGATTCTACACATAGACATCACCAGATGGTCAACACAGAAATCAGATTGACTAAATGCTCTGCAGCCAAAGATAGAGAAGAGATACAGTCAAGCAAGACCAAGAGCCAACTGTGGCTCACATCATGAGCTTCCTGTTGGAAAATTCAGGCTTAAATTGAAGAAAGTAGGGGAAACCACTAGGCCACTCAGATATGACCTAAATCATATTCCTGATGAATATACACTGGAGGTGACAAATAGATTTAAGGAGAGAGAACTGGATATGGAACTACTGATTGGTTCAAAATTGGGAAAGGAGTATGGCAAGGCTGTATATCATCACTCTGCCTATTTAATTTATATGCACAGTACATCATGCGAAAGCTGGGCTAGATGAATTCCTGCGATGGTGGTGTGGGCTTGGGTAGATTCCAAGGAATGGTGGAGGACAGGAGAGCCTGGAGGAATGCTGTCCATGGGGTCGCAATGGGTCAGGCACAACATTTCAACTAAACATACATACAAACACAGTAGTTGCACTTTCCACCCCAGGGGTATGTATTAAAGAGCAAAGAGGATAAAATGGAACGCGCTCCCCAGAGAGGTCCGCCTGGCGCCGTCATTATTCGTTTTTCGGCGCCAGGTGAAGACCTTTTTATTCAAGCGGCATTTTAACTGTTAATATTATCGGATTTTATCTGGCCAGGGCGGCTTATTTTATATTGTATTGTTGTATTTTTAATTTAATATTTATATTTTTAATTTATATTATAATTATTTTAACTTAGTGATGTAAGCTGCCCCGAGGCTTCGGCGAATGGGGCGGCATAAAAATGTTTTAATAAATAAAATAATAAAATAAAATAAATGAATGGCTTGCGTATGTCCAACAGCAGAGGTAGGCTCCACTGGGCACTTACAGGTCCACACACCCTACAGGGGGCCCACTGCCAGCACTTTCCAGCCTTCTAGCACTTACAGGTCCACACACCCTACAGGGGGCCCACTGCCAACACTTTCCAGCCTTCCAACCATTTAGCAACTTTTCCCTGTTGTCACTGCTTGCTCATCTACTCCATCCAAACAGGCAAATAAAGCCCAAAGCAATTGTCCTGTTGTTTCTCTCTAGGTAATGTTGGAGTTGCCCTAACAAAAGTTATAAGTTTTACACTTTAGAATATAAAACACGGACTGTCTCCTTTTCTTCCCCCATTCTGAAGGGTTTTCTCATTCAGATTTCTTCTATGGGAAAAGAGCCCCCACACATCCGATATGCAGATTGCTCTCAAATGCAAGGCTGCAGGGGGATAATACAATGCAACTGGTTTGAATATGCAAATACCGGGCCAGCTCATCATTGTCTTCCTGCAATGTCCTATCTCTGACTGTAAAAAGCGAACTCTGAAACCTGATTGTTTTATCTCCATGCGTCATGATGTTTTTCCTGATGTCTGTAATGGTTTCTCAATGTTTCTGTACTTTCCTTTTGTCTTCCTATTGTTCTAGCATATCACTCATTCAAGGTCTCTTCCCCCTCACTGCAAAAGCATATGTACATGCCTTGTTTCCTAGTTGTCAGTTCTGCATACTGACTACCCCTCAGTGCTGGTGCTTTTTTCTGCCAGATACGGGTCGCCTGGCTGTTCCCAATAAACTACTGAGATGGACTGTAGGGCTTCAGTGTGCATCCAACATCCATTCCCTCCAGTCCTGCAGAGCTTTCCTGATGGTAGTTACACATTGGGCTTTGAAGGAGTAGGCTAGAGAATGGGCCATGAAGAGAAGGTAGCCCTAAACCCTTACCAAACCCAGAGCCAGTACCGTCCCTGTGTAAGACATATGCACCCTTGGGGAATGTACACTGAAGAAACAAAAAGAGATGTGAGGCTGGGCAATAGGTTCTGATCGTTCTCACTGTGTTGCTGAAGCATTCAGATCATATTTTGCAAGTTGCTTGCAACTTGTCCAGGGGAATTACAAAGAAAATGTTGGAACATTTGTGTAAGTTGGGCCCTCAATGAATTCTGTTATTTTACAGTCTTAGAAGGTAGTCTTGCCAAGGAGCTGAACCTTCTTATTCCTTTTTCCATATTCTGAATGATGATCAGTGCTTTAAAGTCTCACTGTACTCAAGAAAATGAAAAGCAGAAACTGCCTAGCAGAGTGTACTATAACAAGAGCACCAGTGCCTCCTGGATTCATTAAAAAAAATGACTGGACAATGAATCACAATTTCAGGGAAAGGAGAAAGGGAAACAACCTTTGAAGAACAGAGATGAAGGAGGCACTGCTTTGGGGAAGACCTTGTTGTAGTTTCTCAATCAAAAACAGTAGTTTTAAATTTTCTATTGAAATATGCTATTGTATTGTATTGCATTGCATTGCATTGTATTGTTGTATTTTACTGTATAGGATCAATTGTTAACCACCTAGACAGCTTCAGCTATTGGGCAGTACAGAAATGAAATGAAATGGTAAACATAAACAAGTGTCGTGCTAATTTTGCAGACCAGATGCAATTAATTTTGCAGACCAGATGCAAAGCAAAAAATCTTAAGAATCAGGTTTCAGCTCCAATCTCTTGCATGTGTCCATGATGATTCTGAAAGAAATGTGATGGAACCCAAAGCATTTTTCCTTAATCCTGAGGATGTAACATGCTGTGCTTATTGACTTAGTAATGATGCAAGCAACAACATCTGAATAACATTAATATTCAGTCTGTGTAACAAAATGTAACACAGTAGCAAGATGCTGTGTATGGAATTAGTTCAAAAATCCAATGTGAATTCAATATTTCTGCAAGAGGAAAAAAAAACAAATAAGCACTCTCTGTTGCTAAAAAAGAAAGCATAATATTTTATAAATAGCATAAGTTTTTGCTCACAACATGAAAGCAGGGCAATTTTTAAATTCTGCCTGGGGTAGAGGACTGTGACTGTGTAGCCATGGCAAGTGGAAAAGTGCTCCTTCCACCAAATATTTACTGTTGTTGCAGTCTAGAAATCTTTGGGACTAACTTGCCAAATTGTGCCTAGCAGATGTGTCCCTGCCTTCTGTACCCACCAAAGCGCTGCTGGTATGCAAACACAATCTAATCATCAAATTACACCTTCACAAAATGATGGAAGATCACACCAAGGTGATCAATACCAGTAGAGACTGAGCTCGTGTTCCAGTCTCTCCAACCCACGGAATTTTGTAAGTTCGCAACAGGAAAGAAAAAATATAGGAAAACAGAGGAGAACAATGACTTGATGATAATGATCTTTTCTAGATGAGGCTGTTGCTATTTCCAGTTTAAAGACTGGAACTGGGGACTGCTTTTTGTTTTGGTTTGTTTTTTTCCCTTTCTGTACTTTCCACTTCATAACCTTTAGGTAGAGTAGAATAACAACTGAGTGGAGACTAGTGATTCGCTTTGCTTTGGCAAAGATTTTCTGGATCCAACCCCCAACCCTTTAAATTTGCCTTTAAAAAACGAACTGGATGGGGATGACAACATCTAAAGCACTTTTGAACAACCATGAGGGAGAGACAGAGCACAATAAGAGCCTCACCTAGAAAGGCTCAATGTTGTGAATTCATTACAAGTGATCAAAGAGTGGCCATTCCAGAGTAAACACTGAGTGTGGACGCACCACTGCTGTCAGGGGAAAAACATAATATTTCTGGATGTTTTATTACTGTTTACAGAAATAGCTGGATCTGTCAATTTTGGTTTCTCATTTCCTAATGTTAAATTTGGCTTGTTCCAAATGTTTAGAATTCCTCTGATCTTGCCTATGGTTTGTGTTGGATGCAAACATTTTAATATTAAAATTTTGCATGAAGATTTGTACACATTTTTGTGCACCTGTATGAAGTTTTATGTGAGTTTGCCTCATATACAAAATTTCTGTGACCACTGTTCCTAATATACATAGTTGGATGATATTCTAACCAATGTGTATGTTGCTTTGTGTTTTGATATTTGCATCATTTCATTCCATTTCATCTCGATTCGTTTTGTTTCGTGCACTGTTGTTTTATGCTTCCCAGATAGCTTCAGAAATGAAAATAGCAGAAGTGGTAGTAGTTGTAGACAAAGTATTCTAGTGCAGGTGCAGTGCAGAAGTCCTGATCCAGATCTTAAACCTCTACACCTCATGCCACAGTCCCAATCTGGATTGGGACCCCCACATCTAGAGCGAAAATCAAGCAGGAGAGATGGAGCTGTGAGGCACAGTTTTACAGTATTGTCTATTTTGGCTCTAAGATTACTTGACCTCATCGTGTGCTAACTACTTCGTCAGATGGCAGCTTACCTTTGGTGGCATCCATGCCCCCAACAGCGTAAAGGGAGCCAACAGTGGACTTCCTAGGCTTAGTGCGGGGGCTCTGCATCATAGACCTCCTCTCTGGTAGCAGGTGGTATTTCATTGCTTCCATGAGAAGTTTCTGGCACTCGAGATCATCAGTAAACATGGGGCTATTTTCCAGATCTGCTAATAGCTGAAACACGCAAAGAAGCCTGCTGTTCATGCTGAAATTATCAGAGTGTTATTTCTATGTATGCCCGCTCAGTTTTATGGGCCATTGGGCATCCTGATATTGGTGGAACCTTGAGTTGCTCTTCAGAGCAACAGCTTATTCAGCCCCTTTTCCTCTTCTTCCATACCAAGAGTCTTTTTGGAGAGGGACAGGAGGCTGGGCAGCAAGTGAGTGGACAGTGGGCAGTAGCCATCCTGGAATTGTATCGGTGTTGTGATGCCGGAGCTTGCACACAAAGCCAGGCTGCAATGGGGTGAAGGTTCTAGCTGGCAGGCTGGCAGTGGCTGCCTTGGCTTCCAATAGATGCTCAACCAGGCCAGCCAGCGGTAATTCTAGAACCTGCTTTCTGACTTATTCCCATATGGACCCCACATTGCACTGCCCTGGTTCAAATTGTCACTGCAACCCATGATGACTTATTTAAGAGCCATGGCAGAAGTCTGTAAGCCATTGCGGCTTGCAGCCCATGCCAGCAGCCATTTTCGATATTCAAGCAGGGAAGTCACATCCTGTTGTGACATCCAAACCCCGTGCAGGTAAACTTGGGGGACGTTTAAAAAAATGCCCACAACCAATGGAATGGTTTGGGTTGATGGGTGGTGCCTCAACCATGCCAGTATCCCACCCTCGCCAAGGTGTCACAATAGGCCACCCACACCCATCATCTACCACAGCTGACATATGCAGTATTGCTGCCAGCACGCACCGCAAACCTTCCTGGCTGAAATAAACCATGGTAGGCTGAGCTGATGGCGCTAACTGGGCCAGTGGCCCTTCATATCACTTGCATTTGTTGTTTGTTTAAGGCTTTTCTGGACCGTCCATCTACCGGCATCTCAGGACGGTTTACAACAAAGCAGCAGATAAAACAGGGCGCAGCATCCAGTAATTCAATAATATAAAAACCACACTAAAGCTGCTTGAACATTAAAATAATGAGAAAATAAAAAGGGTTTCTCCTGGAGCCGAAATGAAAAAAGCACTGCACCAGGCAAACCTTTCTGGAGAACCTTCAACCCTTCCTTCACAGCTCTCTCCATTTGAATGGAGAGTTACTTTCTGTGGTCTGATCCCCTGGCACTGTGATAACATAGGGATGGAGGGTCCACAAATATAGCAAACAAAGTCTCTCTCCAATAATGATGGAGAGAGAGAGAGAGAGAGAGAGAGAGAGAGAGAGAGAGAGAGAGAGAGGGAGGGAGAGGGAGAGGGAGAGGGAGAGAGAGAGAGATGCTTTAATCTATCCCAAGTACTAGCATTTTGTACTTCAGGAGCTGTATCTCAATCCTATTTCCTTCTGCAAAGGTTTCTAGCCATAGCATAGTGTTGGCCATTCCAGCATTATACTGAACTGAGTTAGGTATGAAGGCACCGCAGAGATGTAGAGAATAACAATTGTGTTCTTTTCATTCTTGCGGAACCATGGCTCATGGTATCGTTCAATTGAACTCAGAATTTAGGAGCCTGGGAAGCTGCTTTATGCTGAGTCTGAACATCAACCCAGTATGGTTGAGCACTGAGTGGCAGGAGTTCTACAGGGTTTCAGGCAGAAATTTCCCCAGCCCCATCTGGAGAAGCTGGGATTGGACCTGAACCTGGGATCTTTTGCATGCAAGCAGCTGCTCCTCCAACTGAGCTCCAAGACATGCTGTCCCTATCCCATGTTCTCAAACCCTTTCTCAAGGCCCACTTCTTGAACAAGCTTTTCCCAGACCTACCAAACATCCCTAGACCCACAATTCATCACTTCCCAGTGACCCACCTGTGGGGAGAGTAGGGGCAATCTTATGTAAGACAGAAGCATCCCAAGGTCCCGCTGCCTGTCCTGCAAGTCATGCCGAACCCACAGCATTAATGCCTTAAAGATGGCTTCTTCATCTGGAACGTTGATGTCATCACTGGACAGAAGTTTAGCAATTTCAGCAGCTGGCAGCAAGAGAAATTCCTGATTTTTTATTACTTCAGTGAAGTGCTCCTAAAGGAGGGAATAAAAACAACATAGCAGTGCATTTGCCTTTTATTAATTCATTTACTTAAATTGCTGTTTATCCAACTTGATGCTAAATGCTCAGAGAAGATAACTTATTTTTATAAATGCCATGTCTGCACACATCTTATTCACTTTGAATAAGATCATCTTATCAGGGAATTCTTCTTAAGTTCTGCTTTTAGAACAAGCTGGAGGAGAATTTGATATTCCTAACCTCAAAAGAAAAAGACAAAACAAAGATGAAGAAGCAGCATTTACAAACCTTTAAAACCCTTACCTGAGCCTGGAAGAAATCTTTTACAATTCCTTTGGGGAACAAAAGAGGCTTCAATTTTAATTGATTAATTGATATGAAAAGTGCTTTTTAAAAAACCCTTGGAATCATCTGCAAAAGTAGGAATGCCTCTTCTGCTATGATGACTTGTAGTAATAATGTAAAAGTTTTCAATTCAGAAAGATGCTTTTTCACTCATATGCAAGTCTATAATAGTTTCATCAAAAGCTTAACCAATTAGCAGTAATATAGTGGATCTATTAGCATCTGTTTAGCTGGATTGTATAACAGTAATATAGTGGATCTATTAGCATCTGTTTAGCTGGATTGTATAATAGTAATATAGTGGATCTATTAGCATCTGTTTAGCTGGATTGTATACCTAGCCACCCCCACCCCGACAAATCAGTGTAATTGTGTTAAAGATCCATGGCCTGTTGTTGGTGTATTTACTGAATTTCCATGCTTGCATCCATCAGTCTTCTGCATTACCCTGTTTTCTTAAGCATCTCTGCACTCTGAACTGATATTTTAGAAAGAAAAAAAGGAAAGGAAGCAACTTTTCTTGGGAGCGATACAGGAGATGGTGGCCTCAGTCCTTCCTGCTGTTTGCGATGCTTCAAAAATAGGAAGATGGGAGTGTTGTTGCAAATGACAAAAATAGCACAAGCTGTTTATAGGAAGCGATTTTATCTGTGGAAGCATGATTTCCAGGCAGGAAACTGTTAATAGTCCACATTGATAATAACAAAAGTAAAAGAAAGAGAGATCTTCTCACTGGACCTTTGGGGATGGGAAAATAAGTGAGCTGGCATTCTGCTTCAAGGACTCAAGGTCAGCCTTTTCGCTTGCAACAGAAGGTCCGATGGGCTGTCACACAGGCAGATGTATGGCTCTGATCTTCACGGGGAACGGGGGCTCAGGGCACTGGTCAGGGAAATGGACGCTAACAAGCAGGAGGAAGGACAGCTTGGAAATGCCCCCAATTCAGATGGGTGGGAGCGGAAGGGTGGAGAGAGAAGCATTGTAATACCGCCAGGGAGGTATTTGAAGAAAGTTCATGAGCAGCTGAGGCAGGTTTAAGCTGGGAATCTTTTGACCCAATGGCCAGATTCCATTGCTGAGAACCTCTTGCAAGCTGCATTCCAGTGGTGGGAGGGGCTAAAGGCAAAAGGGGTGGAGCCAAAGCTCAAAAATAGTTCATTTGTTAAATTTCTATACCACCCTTTCGGCCAAGGTTCTCTGGGTGGTGTACAAATATGAGCATGTGTCACCTGAAAGTTCCTGCTGCTGGGAACTCACAGGCACTGCACTGCTTGATATGGGTCATTCATTTCCCTGAATCCCTGTGCAGATGCATGGGAGATAATTCAAATAAAATGTTGCTGTTATTTATACCTTTTAGAAAGGGAGGCATGCGCTAAAGGCAGGGAACCCCCCCCCCGCCAAAGATTAGAAATTTGGTGGAAAGAAAGGGGTGCAGCTATGTGGAGGGACAGATGGGGACCCACACAGGCCCAGATCTGGCCCCTGAGCCTGAGCTTTCCCACCCCCGAGGTAGGCTGTATCGGGGGGGGGGCTCTTACATTCCCCTGGGACAAATACAAATCCATGATGGATAAAGTCTTCTTCATCACATCTCCCTCAGATACTGATGTCCAAATACTTCTCTGGTTCCATGGAAGTGAAGGCCTGAGGGTTCAGCAACTCTTTCAGAAGAGGACCCTGCAATCCCATTTTATGGAGTCCACAACCAGAGTTTTGCACAGCTTAAAACATGGGTCCTCAAACTACGGCCCGTGGGCCAGATCCGGCCTGCCGTGCCCATTTATCCAGCCCACCATAGAGGTTTTGGACTGGCTGTGCACGCGCGAGAACATGGCGAGGTGGGGGCTTGCTCATGCGGAGATCGTTTTGGACTCGCTCAGAGAAAATGATCTTCTTGCAAGCAAGCCGGCGCCTCGCCACACATGTGTGCTCACATCCCCCCCACTCCAGCCCACCTCCCCACACACACACCACCTTGGCGGCCCGCACCCATCGCCATCACCTTTCAACTGGCCCCGTTAAAAAAGTTTGAGGACCCCTGGCTTAAAACCTAGCCCAAGTCCATGAGAGAGATGATCTCGATGTCCACATCTGGGGAGGCTTTGGTAAATACGAGCTTTCCCTTTTTCAGCTTCATATGTCTGCCTTTAACCTGCTCCTGCCTCAAAGTCTGCCTTCGCTTAACATTTTCGTTTCCATCTGGGGCCCAGTAATTGTTCCTTCTTTATGCATTTGAAGAAGCCAGTCAGCTCTGGAAGACCTTCCCCTTTGAAATATTTATACATTGATTCAGCTTTGCAGACTATTCCCACATTTCTCATCTGACAGCCAGATTATTCTTTCTCTGCTTCAAATTAGCAACCGATTAATGTCTCAGGCAATGCTCTCTGTTGCTGCTCAGAATATCCCTTTGCACGAGTGTGTGATAGAGAAGGCTGGTTCTCAGATTTTCTTCACAGCTCTCCATCCCACCCAGCCTTTCCCATTCAGCTGCTCTTCTAAGCTTCCCTTTCCGTGCTACCAAAGGAGTCTAAATCCAGCCAAGACAAACGTGTGCCTCCTTTGTCTGAGAGCCACTTTCTTCCTGCGGTTTGAAAGGGAGTCTCTCTTGTCATTGTTCTGTCATCTTGAAAAAGTGGGGAAGGCAGTAAAGAGCCCTCCCTTTGCCCTTTGAGAAGATAAGAAGGAGGAGAGAAAACATGCATGCCTTTGACTGGTGAGACTAATTGATTAGTTGAGTCACAGATTAAGAACTCTTCACATTAAATGGAGTCAGGCAGATGGGCTTGTCTTGTGCCTGACGTACTGATAAGGCCTGCGGTTATATGTGCAGCAGATGAGGGGGCAAAGTGACCCAGAAAATTATCAAACCGCAAGTTGGTGAGTGTTTTTGCCCTCTTTCACTCTTTGCAAAGAACACCTTGCTGCAAATGAAATCAGGGTGAATACTCTAGTCTCTTCCCATGGACTGGCACTTATTTTTATTGCAGAAATTCTGAATGATTTTTTTAACACAGAGAATCATTTTGATTGAAGCACACATGCAGAGTGGGAAGCACTGAGAAATGTGCTTCCCCCTCCTTGCATACCGAGATGGTCTGGCCAATTCTCCCAACACAGCATAGTATGGCCACGTGTCCTATGTTACAAAGGGCAGTGTCCGCAGTTTGATGGCATCTTCTACTGGGACATCTGCCCAGTCCAAGTTGAGTTTAAAGATAAAGGACCTTAAGCATTTCCCTCCACAGGAATGGAGACTGTTAACATTGCAAACCACCGAGAGAGCTTTGGTTACTGGGCAATATAGAACTGAAATAAATGAATCAGTCACATGAACAGGAATCTAGCAACCTCTCCTGCCTGCATGGGATCCTCCTGCTGTTTCTCCCATCAGTGCCTTTTGCAAATCACCCCATTTATAGATCAGCCCTCCTTCTATAGTCAGTACTTCCACACAAACTCCTTTGCCTTGGGAGCCACAACAGTGCCACCCACACAACGCATGCAAAAGAAGGAGGCATCAGCAAAGGGACCCCACTGTTCACAAAAGGCCAAAACATCCTGCTGTCAAACCTTAAGGGGGATGGACCCCCCCCAAACACTGGGGGTCAGTGAACATTGGCTACTGGGGGATGCGAAGAAATGGAGACCCAAACAGACAAGGGTGACGTCTCCTGGAAGAAGACCTTGGGGAAGACCCCTGAAGCTGCACGGCAACCATTTTTTGCAGACTGCAAGTGCTTTCTAGCCTACATTTCCAGCTGCTAACCCCCAGAACCTGTTTTCTCATCCTCACCATGGTATAGACATGGGCCACACGCAGAAGCTCTGTGCAGCCCTGAGCATCTCCGAAGGACCGGATCCCTAAGCAGTTTGAAGGATGGAGCTGCTTCATGAGAAAGTTGCAGCAGACTTCGATGACTTGCGAAAGCTGGAGAAGGCAGGCTGCAGCCAGCAGGCTCTCGATCGTCTCTTCTTTTAGTTCCAAAACACCTGTGCAATTTAAGGTTGAGAAACAAGACACGTGCAAGGAAAAGGATTATTCACCTGAGTGGGAGGGTAACTCAAGGAGGCATGGCTGGCATCCCTGAGAGCCCCAGGCTTTTAACGGCTGGAGGTGAGTGCTCATCAGCAGACAGAAGGGAAGGAAAGGGTGTAATGCCCTCTCTTAGCCTGCTGTGGCTCCATGGAAAATTCTGAATAAATAACAGAAGGGAGGCAAAACACAGGCGGAATGGAAAAAGAGAACGCGTCCTCAAAAAACAAAAAAGGCAGGATGGAGCCCTGCAGGTTTCAGAACAGTGTCTGTGCTGTGCGACCTGGGCACCTGCTTCCTGAGGGCAACCCAAGGCAAATACCTGCAACCCTCCCAGCACAGGATTCTGGGCATCCAGTTCAGGGAGAGAGGAGTGAGGATGCAAAGGCCTAGCCTTAAGTGCCACCCCGCTGCCACATGCACACACACTCTGCAAAGCAATTGGAGGGCCAATTTTGGCCCCTGAACTGTAGGCCAGGGAGAAGGAAGCCATGGTGCCAAGGACACAGACCTTGGAGGCACCGGCCTCCTCCCCTCTTCACCCCAAGGAATGCCCCCCAAGCCCCTTCCCTAAAGGCATTATGATCTTGCGGAAACAACCACTACAGTCTTTTCTGCACCAGCTGTGGGGGGGTGGGGGGGCCGGTCTATGTTCCAAGCACAGATTCCTGGCTCCAAGGTTGGAGCTGTCTTCCATCTTTGGAGCAGGGGTTGTAAATCATCCCGTGGCCTCGATGTCTGAGGATCACAGAATCTCTCCGGGAATTAAATTTGTGTTCTTTGTTGTTGCCCTGGAGTTTAGCCTGGAGTCCTGCACTGAGCAGGGAGCTGGACCCAATGGCCCTCTGGCTCCTTCCAAGTGTACCAGAGAGCCAGTGTGGCGCGGTGGTTAAGAGCATGGGACTGGGACCCAGCCAGTCTGGGTTCCAGTCCCTGCTCAGCCATGGAGCCAACTGGGTGACTTTGGACTAGTCACAGACCCTCAGCCCAATCCACCTCGCAGGATTGCTGTTGTGGGAATAAGGTTGAGAGCAGGAGGAAGAGAAGACTGTAAGCCACTTTGGGTCCTTTAAAAGAAGAAAAGGTAATCTAAATCTGATAATAATGAAAATAGTTCTCTTCATTCCAAACTGTATTAGATTGAGTCACGGGGAAAGGGAATCAGTCTTTTTGTGACCATTTTCTCTTCCTGCTCTGGACTTTGCTTTTCTTATGCGCTTGCACACCCCCCACTGCCAGTGAGGTGCTCTTCCTCACATTTAATTGGCCCTGGATTTCCCCTTTCTCAGACCTGTGCCTCCAGGTCTGTTCTACACCAGTGTGGTGGAGGCTGCAGTCCAGATGGGAACCAACAGTGCCAGAAGAACAAGTGAGTTGCCCAGCTGCTTACCTGTGTAAGCATAATGCACAAGGTCCCTCAGTGCATCGGGATCCACGCCTTCCATTTTTATTTCTTCTTGTTTCGCTTCACGCACATCACTGGTAAACATTGCAGCAAAGTAGTCCGACACTGCGCACAGAACCAGCCTGGGGAAAGGAGAGGTTTTGTGAGCATCTCCTCCCGCCTCCTAATATCTATAGAAAGCTCAGACTTTATTCGTGGTATGCGCCCCTTTGCTTGGCTTGTGTTCCTTCAAAGGATGCACCGCGCACACTGCACCACAGCTCTTCGGCCCATAAATAGAAGGCCATGCCTCTGTGCAGCCAAGAGAAAGGGGCGATCAAGTAGCTTAACATTCTCCCAGAGAGCTGTTTTGCTTCACTGGCAAAATGAAATTCCTTTGACTAGCTTGATTTTAAAAATCTTCCTGGTTTTAAGTAACCCATTGCAAAGCAGACAATGGGTGAGTTTTTGCACTCCCCGTCTGTTGCATAATGGATCTTACATGCCCAAGACAGAGAAAATTGGCTTGCATCAGCCAGCCATGGCAATGAATATATCCAGAAATGCAAATATTCAAGCAAATGGATAAAATTGCCAATTTCAGACTAGTGCAAATTCAGAGGGCAGTGTGGCCCAGTGGTTGGAGTGTTGGGAGGAGGCTCAAAAGACCTGGATTTTCACTCTCTGGATGGCTTTGGCCTGCTCTTTAAACTACCTCACAGGATTGTGGAGAATATGGAATGATGAGAAGGAGGTGGAGGAGGTACTGAGCTACCTTGGTATCCTTGCAGAGAAAAAGACAGGGTATAAATACAATCAATGAATAATAAGGTATAAATAGATAAGGCTCAGTGTGCCACAGAGGACCTTCTGCCAGTGGAAGCAAAAGTATGAGGACATGACATTGATCTGTCCTTAATGTTGCAAAGGCACCAGCGAGAGAGCTGCTTCTCCTTGTAACAGAAAGAGGAGTTCTTTCCATGCCATTCTTCTTAATTCCCTGTTATTCTAAAGGAAGCCAGACTGGGGTTTCCTGGAATGCAGGGAGATTCTGTGACAGGATTTACCTGTGAGCAGGTATCTTGTGGTCCCCAGCAATGAGAAGAACATCACAGAGCTGCTTCTGCTGGAGATAATTCTCCATTTTGCGGAATGCCTGCTCTGCGTGGTTTGCGGAATAGAAGTACTCGTCTGATCCATCGTTGTTCCCTCCCGCAGGAGAGGAGCCATTGTTTATCGATAGCCTGTCGGAGATGAAACAATGTCACCTACATGGTAATAACTGGCCTATGGAAATTACTGAGCAACCAAAGAGTCTGGGTGACAGGAAGGCAAATTAATGAAATTCACCTTGGATTACTGTGTGTGTGGTGGAAGATGGGCGGTTCGTGACTTGTTCTCTGGATTAACAAATTACACTATACAGATTTCATTACAACTCAGAGTTTAACAGATAATGCATGCACACGACATGCTTGCTTATTTTATATCCAGTAAAAATAAATAAATAAATTCAAAACCCATACATTCCATTCACTTTGAATTCAGGGTGGAGTACAGGAAGCCATGAGACTGGAGTGATTGCGTTAGCCCAAGTGGAATATCTAGAATATTGCACTATCTAAGGGCGCAGTCATGGGGTCTCCTGACTGGCCAGGAGACCTTAGGATCCTTTATGGTCCCAGCTCTGAAATCCTATGATTGCAGAGCTAGAAATCATAGGCACAGTCCCCACCTTCAGTATAACAGCACCAGACCTCTGGAAGATTTTGCAAAAGATTTCTTAGTACACGATCAATAGACCCTAAAACTCAATCCTGCACAGACATTTATTAGCAGAGGGAAAATCAAAATCTCTCTACAATCTCTGCATGCCACACAAGGATTCACGATTGTTAGATCCTATAGCTTCAATCCTACACAGACACCAGGATCTCATTAAACTGCTGATGTAGCAATGCAGAGGCTGCCATGCAGAAATCAACAGGCATAATGTGAGCTTGACTAGACTAGGGGTTGCTTCTGAGGGGCCAAGTCAATTTCATTGATTTGTTCTAGGCTAGAAGTGGCTGAAATTAGGAAGACTGGACCAAACCGGCTTCCCTCATTAAGTATTAAGCTATCAAGTTGCCAATAGCGGATCAGGGTTAGCATGATGGGAGCACCAAGGTGAAAGTCATTCCAGAAAGCAGAAATCATCATCCATACACAGCCAAAAGCATTTGCTCCAGTGGGTTGAGAATGCATGCTTCCCTCTTCTGCTCCCTGTACTGCTTTCAGCCAAAACGAGTTATCCCCAGTGCCAGCCGCTAATGGAACATTTGATGAAAACCCATTATATCCCTTGGAATGCCCCATACGTTTCAGATGGAGCCGCTGATGAGGCGATTGCATTAGAAGATAAATATGGGAGACAGTTCAAAATTGGGCCTATTAGGTAAATAGCACTACAAATTGCTTGCAGTCCATTATTGCCAAAGAGGACAATATACCAGTGCCAAAATTACTGCAAAGGACAGAAATGTCCTGGGGGTGGCCTCTTTAGTCCTGTTGGTGTGATTGTTTCAAAGATGAAGATTCAGTAGAAACGAAGTCGGTTGCAGCTGGTATGTTTCTTTTGAAGCATCCCTCGGCTCAGCAGCCTTACTGGATTTTGTCCTGCAGTCTGCCCTTTATGTCCTTATTAGTGTCTTGCTCTATTAGCTTCAGAAATTGCAACAAGCTTATTGGTTTCTGGCCCACATTGTATTCTCCTATTCCCATTTCCTTGCTTCAAAAATCCTCTCCTTTCTAACCATCAACATGCAGTTTCCTCCTATGAATGTCTTCTCATGGCTAAGATCTTGTTTAGTTTTAGTTTCGATTTATTTCCTGCCTTTTTCCTACAAAGAGCTCAAGGCAGCTTAATCTCCTCCTCCATCTTATCCCCACAACAACAACCCTGTGAGGTAGGTTGGGCTGAGAGTCTGTGACTGGCCCAAAGTCACCCAGTTGGCTCCATGGCTGAGCGGGGACTCGAACCCAGATTGTCTGAGTCCCAGTCCCCATGTTTACTCACAAAGGAGATGCAAGCAGACTATCACGGAAGCAAATCAGCAGTATGAGGAGCATATTGCTAACAGTATCAAGGCTAACAACAAAGAATTCTTTAAATATATCAAAAGAAAGAAAGTGGCTAATGAAGCAGTGGGGCCATTGGATGAAGGGGAGGGGGCCATGAGGAGATTTCAGGGAAGCTGGATGAATTCTTTTTATCAGCCTCCATCACAGAGGATGAAGAGCAGGTACCTGTCCCTGAGTTTATGTATTCTGGAAGGGAGTCTGAGGAATTAGGGCAGATGGTAGTAACAAGAAATGAATTGTCATCCTTATTGACAAACTGAAAGTCAGCAAGTCACCTATCCATATGGTATCCATCCTTGACTTAATCCAAGAACTCAAGCATGAAATCATTAGCCCTTGTATCAGAAGACTGGAGAAGGGCCAATGTAATGCCAATTTTTAAAAAGGGATCCAAGAAATTACAGGCCAGTTAGCTTCTGGATAAACTGCTTTACAGACAGAATCAGTCAGCATACAGAGGAAAAAGCCCTGCTGGAGAAAAAAAGAATCAGCATGGCTTCTATAACCTGCTGGAGTTCTTTGAGAGTGTCAATAAGCACATAGTCAGAGCCAATCCAGTAGACATTGTTCACCTGGACTTCCAAAAGGAGTTTGTTAAAGTCCCAAACCAAAGACTCCAGAAGCAAACTAAGCAGTCATGAAATTAAAAAATAAAAATAAAAAGGAAGGGATCCTCCTACAGATCACTAATGGAGAGAGGTCACCAATGGAGTCCCACAGAGTTCTGAATAAGGTCAATACTTTTCAACTTATTCATAAATGATCTGGAATTAGAAGTAAGTAGTGAAGTAGCCAAGTTTGCTGAAGATATTAGTTTTTTTTAGCATGGTTAAACCAAAAAGGATTGTGAAGAGCTCCAAAGGGATCTCTCCAAGTCAGGAGAATGTGCATCGGAATCGCAAATACAGTTCAATATAAGTAGAATAATGCATGTTAGAGCAAAACATCTCAACTTCAAGTATACACTGAACTAGCAGTGGATGAGCAAGAAAGGGATCTTGGAGTAGGGGTGGACAGCTCCATGAAAATGTCAGCTCAGTGCTCAGTTGCTGTGAAGAGGGCAAACTGCATGCTGGGTGTGACTAGGAACGGAATAGGAAATCGGACTGCCATACTCTTACTTTCCCTATAATAAAAAAATTCCGTGCAACACATGTTCAGTTCTGTTCACCTTACCTGAAAAAGGACATTATTGAGTTGGAAAAAGTCCAGAGAAGGACAAAAAACATGATCAGGGGGCTGGAGCAGCTCTCCTATGAGGAGCTCTTACAACAACTGGGGCTGTTCAGCTTAGAAAAAAATATGCTGAAGCCCACCGTATCTGGAGGGCATTAAGGCAGGAAAGGCTTTGGTACTATGTTTTACTCTCTATAAATAGTAACTCAAAATCTAGCCTTTCATTCATGTTCCACTGGAAATGACCACCATCTCTGAGGCCACCTGACCATCGCTGAAGACAGCACAGAAGGTGAGGGCTTGTCTGGTCTGGAAGGACCACTGACCACCTGAGAAGTGAGCACAGCATATAGCCAGAAGACTGTAAATGTTCAAATACAGCCCACCACCGATTTTATCACAAGGTTTAGACAGGAACTGACTACATCTCTCTTTTGAGATGAAGAAAAAGGAAATCCAAGTACATTTCTGAAGCTTGTGAAAATGTCCTCTGTGGGTGATATTGACGAGTCTCCATTATAATGGGAAATTCATGTAAGATTAATGGAAACTTGCGTGATGTTAGGTTTTCATTCATCATCACTCAGTTGTTTTTATGAGTTTGGGATTAAAATGAGCCCATTTTCCTCACTTCCAGTTCTCTTGATGCATGTTTATGTGGTTCAGAAAACAGGAAACTTGTATGCATTTATGAAGCGGGAGGAATACCGAGAGACCTATGGAGAGGAGAGAGGAAAAGCTGCTTTATAGTTCTTCTTTAGCTTCTATCAATACCCATGGATAAAGCATCCTCATCGTTGCTCTCAAGTGCATGCACACACGCAGCAGAAAATATACATACATACAGCAGTCATATAACGTCAACATCCACGTTGTATTCCTTACAGGTTTCCTGTATTAAATAAGTAATGTTTCTATAGAAAACGGGGATGGGCAAATGTGTCTGGTTTTGGTCTCTGTCCATGATTTTTCTAATTAAATTTTAATACTTATTTTAAGATGTATTTACATTCATATTTTCCCTAAAAGTATCAATACTGTACAATGCCTTATGCTATCCATTGGTAGCAAGACTCACTGCTAGTACAAGGGCAGAAATGAGCATTTCTATTGGGGTAGAAGAGAAAAGATCTGGGGATCAGGCTCCCAGGACCAAAAGAGAGCATAAATTTGAATGTGCTAAGTTGCATGCACTCTAAAGTCTCTCTGTGTTCCATCTCCTAAGGAAACCACAATCTCTAAAAGGGGATGTATGAACAGGGGAAAGGAGGGCATTTGATTCCAGGAAAAGAAGCTTGGGCAGAAGAACTGGGGAGGCTGGACAGCAGGAGAAGCCCCTGTGGGGCAAAGGCCAGCTCATGCAGGGTGATCAGGTGCAGTACCCACAGCCAGCAGAGATGTGGGACAAGCGGCCTCCCAGGAATACAGGGCTCCGCATGAACACTTTGCGTCCCCTGCCCTAGTGGGCTGTCCCCTGCCCTAGTGGGCTGTCCCTGCCTCTGCCTCTGATTGCCCTTCATTTCAGGGTGCTTTCGGAAACGCCCCTCCCCACGGCTTTAGCAGGGAGCCTTGCAGGCGCAGCTGGAACAGCAGCAAAATGATGGCAAACTGAGCACTACTTAAATGTGTGTTTATTCTCTCTGGGCATTTAAAATGTATTTGAGCAGCCAAGATTCTGTCCCAACATTTAGACAAGCGAGAAATCCAGTGCATAAGATGATTCCCAATCTGCACAGTTGCATTGCTGAGACATGCAAATGAGGCTCTTTCAAATGACAAATTCTCAAGCATCCCCGGTTAAAAACTTTTGCAAGATCTCCACTGCTGGAGACACTCTTCAGTTTAGCACTGCCGTTTATATTTGCTTGATTAATTTTTTATAACACCAGGTATACAACCACATGTTATCACTGACTCCAGAGCAGTGGTGTTCGCATCAGCAAAACTCAGGACTGCCCAAGTTGTTTGAATTCCACCTTGACCTGAGTATGAATCGGAATATAAGCCTTGTTTTCATTTGTCTCTGTCCTTTCGCATGAACACTCATGTGCAATTTCCTGTGCACTTTTCCAAATGCACATATCAGCCATGTGCAAAAAAACAGCACCCCCTTGAAGCCACCACAATGCTCAGCCCCACCAGTATCATGGCTTGCATTAACTAATCAACTTTTCCAGCTAATTTCAAGCTCACACAACTTCTACCAAATTTGAATTCAGTTCAAAGCAATAGATCTTCCATTCAAGGAACTAACAGGGTCAATCTTCCAGGAAGCTTAGCTTGTGCTCCCAGAATTCCAGTCTCTCTTTACGACACCACCATTGTAGCCAGTCATTCACTTGAAGGATTTTTCTTTCCCTAACAGTTCCTCTTCTGTGTATTGGTAGAATTGAGAAGACTATCTGGGCCCCAGTGTTTTTGATTTTCTTCCCTAGAACTTTAAAGTCTGATGTTATTTCAGCAAAGCTTCTCATGGCAGTGTTGTTAGTTCCCAAGTGGAAGAGAAGGAAGGGGTATTTGTCTGTGGGTTGGATGAGTTGTGTGAACTTGTTGGTAATATCTTTAATTTTGGTTCCAGGGACACAGCATACTTGACGATTCTCTGGGCCATCAGGATGTACATATTTTTCCATCCTGTGCAAAAGGGAATCTCCACAACCAGCACTCTTCTCCTTTTGGTGTTGCAAACTTTGGTATCCATTTCCTTTCTTGATTGGCCCTTTGTCTCTTTTTCAGAGTTACCCAGTGTGTCATGTAGCTCTTTCACAGTGGGTTCCTCACACGTCTCTTCCTCAAGCAACTCGAAGCGGATCGAGAGTTCCACCGCTTCCGCTGGTGCAGAGCTTCTTCTAGGTCCTCTGCGTCTGTCACCCTGTTCCAGAGGGTTTCCTCATTTGCCCTTCCTTCAGGGTCCTCTCCTGCTGCCTCTTCTTGCTGATGCTCTTCTTGCTTCTGGACTACACTTACCTGTTGCAGCTCCTCCGCTCTGTCGAGAAACTCTTCCTTTTCTGTAATTGTCCAGAGGGTGGACACTCACTGCTCCAGCGCCCTCACCTGTTCTTGTAACAGGGCTACTAGTGCACAGCGGTTGCAGTTGTTGCAGGCCACCACTGTGGAGTCTCCCCGGTCCATTGTCTGTGCAACCTTAGTGATTCTGTCTTTGGGGCTGCTGTTGTGGCAACCATGATACCTCACTGGCTGTATGATCAAGAAGCAGCCACGGAGGAGGCAAAACGCCTTCCTCCCATGATCTTTCTGTAGTCCAGAATGATCAGGTAATCATCAGGCAACTACAGGACTGAGAAGGAGTTTACAGCAGGCCAACAAGTTTGTTTCTATCAACCTTAGAAACAGAGAAACCGAGTCAGAAGGGGTCTCCCGAGTCATCTAGTCTGACCCCCAACTTCAGCCAGCTCCACTCATGACATGCCCACCACATGCATGTCCAGCCTATCCTTGAACACCCTCATTGACGGGGCCTCAACCACCTCCCATGGAAGCCCGTTCCACACCCTCGGGGTCCTGACTGTCAGGAAGTGCTTCCTGGCATCCATATTGAACCTTGGCTCCCTGAGCTTTGCTCCATTGGAGCGCATCCTGTCTTCCTTCACAGGGGAAAACAAGTCTCTACCCACCTCCACATGGCACCCCTTATCAGTGTCTTTCTCTGATAAGGCCCAAGATGCCCTGATTTTCACTTTACAGAATCCACCTGGAAGGAAGTGTTTGAACTCTTTGAGCAACTGTAACCTAATAAATAATATTCTCATTATGCATCCAAATTTCCCAGAAGATGCGCCTTCACATATGTGATAATAAATTAGAGTGTGCATTGTTCTGCAATACTAATAATCTGTTTGGCTTGTCATGTAAATAGCCAATTATGGCTTGATTAGTTGTCCCAGTCCAAAGGCTACAAAATGTGAAAGAATTATTATAACAGGGGACCCACTGCACAAATCCTTCCACCAGGACACCTGATTTATTTGTGGTAGTCATGCGCCTTTAGTCTAATGACGCTGGATTCAGTAACTGTTCACCCAGCTATGCTATCATAATTGCTTTTGTAATTAATCTTATTTATTTTGCAATTGCATTTTAATATCTGATTAAGGTAAGAGTGATTATAGTAAAATGATTTTCCAAATACATGACATAATGAGGACTAGAATAATAACAAGTTTGTTGGGATGGTTTTACGAACTTGTTGGAATGGTTTTCTACTGCAATTCTGTGTCCATTTACCAGGAAGTAAGTCCCACTGTTCTCAGTGGGATTTATTCTGAGTAGACATGGGATTTCACATGGGGTGAAATACATTAACTGCAGGGTAGGGACTTTCTCCACTTATTTTCTCAAGGACAAAAGCCAATTAATTTTTATCTTTACCATTTTATTTTTCAGTATCAATTTCTGAAACCCATTAGGAACAAACCGGATTTTAAAATAATCAACAATGCCACGTGCTTTTCAGACCGCAGTGCCACTGATTAAAAGCTTCACAGATCATCCCATGAAGGTGCATTCCCTGATTCTGACAGATTAAGACTTGCTCACTCTTCCAATACCCCCATATCTGATTTGCCATTCCTGCAAGTTAGTCTCCCTCAACCTGGGGGTTTCCAAGTATCTTGGGTGACAATCCCGTCCACCCCAGGCAGTGTGGCCAATGATTTGGGATGTTGGGAGCTGTCATCCTAAACATCTGCGAATCCCCAGGCCTGCAAAGGGTGCTGTGAGGATTTGTGTTGCACCAACATCCGGCTCCTTCTGCTCCTCCTCCTCCTCCCATCATCAGATAATTGCAAGAACCCAGAAGTCTGGCAGGTCCCATTAGTGTGATCATTTGGTCTATTTAGTCCTTTGGATGCAGGCAATTACAAGGCAAGCTATTGTTGGATAAGTGGATGTACCATGCAAGAACATCCATAGAATGCTAGAATAGTAGAGTTGGAAGGGGCCAAGAAGACCATCAAGGCCAACCCTGTGCTCAGTGCAGGACTCCACGTTAAAGCATCTTCAAGAGGAGGTAGTCCAATGGTCTCTTGGATGCCTCCGATGTGGGTGAGCCCAGCCCATTGCCAGACTGTTCTAACGGTCAGCGTTGTCCCTGCACATTCTGGCAAACCTCAGGGGCATGAGAGGCTAACCATTTGTGCTGGACTGGCAGACTCTAAGAATGAGATGTGTGTAGAGGAGCTGGCCAATCGTGGCAGGACTGACAGATCAGGCTCTGATAACAAGAGGGTTGTTGAAAGAGACTCCACTCCAGCTGTAGTCCAAGGCCCTGGGTAGCTGCTGGTGCCTGCTAGGGAAGAGATTAGTTCAAGGGCAGCTGAAGGGCCCAGTCAACCTGCCCATGGGAATGAGAAGATCAAGAACATCCCAAGGAAGGAGATATAGAGATGGGGAGTCTATCAGATGGGGAACTCGTCTGATAGTACTATCAGGATGAGATGGGCCTGATAGTACATTGTCACAGCCATAGAGTGGCCCAGCCGGGATCTCAGAGGGAGAAGGGAAAGTGTGCCAGGTTCCACTACACTCCCCCCAGCCCCCGCAGGGACAGGCACAGAAGGAGCCATAAACAACGATTTGGGTGCAGAGGGCCAGAGAGGTTCAACATTTTGCTTTGTGCATGCTCAGAGACTCACATGTGGCAAGAAGCACTGGGGATACTGTTACTGCTGGGAGGGAAAACTCAGCTCAGGACAGTCAGCTGGAATCTGACTTCCTGTAAGTTGAGCCCATCGTTCCATACAGTGCACTCGAATATGCCAACACTGGCAGAAGCATCTTCGGACAATCACCAGAACCTGAGGGCCTGCAAGGACCAGCAGGTGGTCTGTGGTCTATCTGGCCACGGCCAGTGTCAAGGGGCCCACTGACAAGACCTCCTGAACCTGCTCCACTCTGGTCCAGGTAATGGAGGTGGTGAGGAGGAGGAGCAGGAGTTGCTCAGGCCTTCTTCCTCGCCTGCTTCCCCTCTGCCAGGCAAGTGAACCATCGTGATGGGAATGAAGTGGAGCAGGAGCAGCTGCAGACAGTGGCCGTGGGAATGTGGCCCTGCTGAGGGATGGGGGCGATTGAGGGTGCCTTGTCCAAGGCCCCTCCGAAGCCTGGAGCTGGGACTGCTTCAGATGGCCACCCTCCCATCCGATTGACCCAGTGTCCCAGGAGGCCTGTCCTGGCACCACACTGCACCACGCCGGGCAAATCAAGCGCTGCCTCCAAATCATCCTCGCCCAGGGGCATAGAGAACGAGTGAGCACCCAAGCGGTGTGTGTGGTGCATCATGGAAGTGTGGGTTGCCAAAGAGGGAGCTCTGAAGCAACAGCCCATGTGCCTGTGCAGCCCACAACCCTGAAGGGGAACAGCAGGTCTCCATGTTTTTCAGGAAGGGCTCTTTCTAGTCCGAAGAGGCCGCCAGGGGTTGAGATTGAGATCTCTGCATGCAAAGTGAGTGAACTGCTAGTGAGTGACAGTCCCAAGCACAGCACAGGTCCAGAGCTTTTCGCATGCTGTCCCTTCGTGAAAGATTTCTACCGCCAGCAGAAGAGGATGATGAAAACAATCGCTATGGACACCAGTCACTGAATACCTGAGAGCTGGCGAAGGTCCATGGAAGCGATGCTGCGCCCTGTGTTCGGCAGTGCTCTCCAAAGCGAGATGTGCTGTTTTGCATAAGCTGTCAGAAAGACCCACCATAATTAGAAACACTAGTGTCTGTAGAAACGGCATCATCAGAGATGTACGTTGCTGTCCCCAGGATACCTTTTACACTGTTATCCTGGTGATGCAGATTATACTTGGTGTCAAGAGAGGGGGAAGCGTTTAGGGGTGCTAGAGGAAAGGACTGTCAACTGGAGCAGAGGATGAAGTGAGAAACCACCATGTAATCATTCATAAAGAATGCAAGGAGGGACTTCCACCATGACATGGAGTGAATCCTCATTTGGACGAGTACCAGTAGTGCCAATGGAAAACATTCTTCACATGCTCAGAAGCAGCCTCTTCTTGATGATTACTGTACAGGTCCCAGGCATGACATTGGAAAGGAGTTTTGGGGCTAAACCTTTTGGAGTGCTGGGTCAAATTAAGCCACAACAAGTGGAAATCTATTCAAAATGTAAAAATTCTGTTTCAAAGCATGGGAATGAAAGAGCAAAGCTGCCACAGAAATTTGCTATAAGGAAATGGCTTCGAAACATACAGAAGATCCTAGAATAGTTTTGTCCCGCCACTTGGGATTTCATGCATGTTAGAGTTTTGCACATGAGGTTGCAATCAGCATGCAAGGCCTGATTCTGAAAGGCGTGGTGAGGCTTCTACTCTGAAGGGAATTAATATGTTCGCATCTCTTTGTGCTGGAGAACAGGGAGAAGAGCACTTCCCAAATGGAAACCTGCCAGAGTTCCATACTGGTGTTGGGAGTAAGAAAGACAGTTACTCCTGGAATGCCTGCTCAGGAGCCAATTCCAGATGTTGAGAGGAGAGAGGCAGGGATGCTTATCTCAAGGCCAGACTCCCCAGGTGGGCAGGCAGGCTCTGGGAATAACCAAGATATACCGTTGGTAGGAGAGAACTTGGAACAGAGGAGTTTCTCAGGCACGGACAAGGCAGGCAAGGCTCTTGACCCCATCACGCAACATCAGCAGAGGAGCATGACCCAGTCAGAGCACTGGCAAGCAGAAAGGAGGCGTGCTTGTTTTTTGAAGCGCCCCCCCCCCCCAAAAAAAAGATGGTGCTCAGGCATGCTCATAAGGAAAGTCCTGAAGGTGAATACTAGATTGGGTTCAACAAACCACTCTGCGCATGATCAAAGAGTCATTCTGGGTGTTTCTATGTCTGGAAAATGCTTTGATCAAGAAAGAACATGTTGCAAGAAAGATCTGTGGCTTTGAATATGAGAAGGGAGGCTCCATAGCTCACAACAACTGGTATTGAATATTCAGGCTGTGGAGAGAGAGAGGGAGGAGAAGAAACAGTTGTGGAAGGGGAGAGAAAGAAACATTACAAAGAACCCCTAAGTCTTCATGTTTTCTCATCCCAAAGTGACTAAGCCTAATCTTGATGCCCCCAGAACAGCTCAGAAGAGTGGAGAAAGTATAACCATCTTTATGCTAGAAATAGGGTCTCATGTTGTCCATTGGCTTAGAAGTATGTTCCAGGTTGAAAACAGTTCAAGACAATCTAGAGAAAAAGTGAATTTAGGTCCATTTTGGGTGCATGCGAAAATAAATGTCTTGATGGAAGAACAGTTGAATGATAGAATCAAATGCCGAACTGGACAGCCAGCTCACTGGGGTTCTTGAGCCCTGGCTTTGCTGAACTGAGCAAGTCTCGGACTAGTTGGCCTCCAAGGCCCCCTCCAGCTCTTATGCTTCCCAGAATGCTCTCTTTCCCCCATTTTTGCCTTAACAAACCTCAAAACCATTTATAATATGGTCCTAATGAAACAGCATAAGGAGAATCAACCACATCACATGCTCAGATTTCTTCCCATTGAAAGAGAAAGTGTTTCTCCTTATTGGAGCTGCAACATTCAATCAAGTAGTTGGTTAATTGTCCTAACTGACTGATGGCATTAGCTAAAAATCAGTGCATAAATAGATGGTTCCATTAATTGTGTGCCATATGCATATAGTTTTTAATCTTTCTTATTTAGTTCTTTTATTTCTTCAAATATTTTAGTCTACCAATCAAGTCCGGAATGCTTCCAAGGTGATGTGCAAACAGCAACATTTGTATAATAATAAAAAAACAACACAGTCACAAAAATAGTAAATGTTCTGCAGGAGCAGGGGAAAAAGAAATAGCAACTTTAGTCAAGGCTTCAACATAACTCAGCTACAAGCAACCCTATCTGATACAATATAGCCATGAGAAGCAAGAAAAGTTTCAGGGCTTTCCTAAAAGTCTAATAGAGTCCTCAAAATGATCAGTGGCAAAAGAGCCCAAGGCATCTCTCTTGCACTTGCACCAAACAGAAAGTCTCACTATCCCTGGGCAGCCACTATCTTAAAAGTGACCACCTCACTTCCCATTGCAAGGATCTTTAAGCATGCTTGTGGGTCGAAACTGGACCCTACTCTTCCAGAGTCAGGAAGGCCTTCTTCTAAGGTGCAACATATTTGCACAATATCACAGAAACAAAGAAAGCACACCTTTTTGCTGCAGGATGGTTCAGATAAATGCACATTGGTGTTGACTTGCAGCTCAGACGACGCACGTCAACGCAGATGGGAGCCCAGAGGACTTCAGTGGGGGTTTCCTCCCAAGAAAGCATGTGTAGGATTGCGAGCTAAGATTTCTTTACATGGGTGATCATTCTGCTTCTTATTAAATGGTGGAGTATTTTGGCTGTCTTTCCCTCGTCCCTCCATGCTAACTAAAGCTCTTTAAAGGTTCATTTGAGCCCGTTGCTGTTTGCATTACATGTGGCTGTTACTGTGGGAGAGAATGAAGCAAAGAATCCACAGTTTATGTTCTAACCAACGTACATTTTCTCACTGCATTATGGAAAATTCCTTGGAGGCCCACATTAACCTCATGTTTTAGGGACCCGGGGCTGATCACACTCTGTTTGGCTTAATGGCACACGGTAGGGACAACTTTCTGAAACATGAAGTATACTCTGCTAATGGCCTGAGCTGATCTCCTCATAAATAGTTTGGAAGTCAATGATTCAGCCATAAAATGACCATTAATTGTCCATCAGCTCTAAAGTGCTTTTAGTCTGGATTTCTATAAACCGAGCAATCGTTTTTTATGTCCCTCTCAAAATGCACATGCGGTGATGCAATTTCCTGTTGATTGCATAGCTGTACATTCCTTCCCTTTATAAAAACAATCCAGAACACTACCTGAACACACTGGACCCACCTCATCTGTGCTGAATTTCCTTTTCACCCATTTTCTAAAAAGCCAATAGCTAGTTTCAAAGATCGACTGACTACATTCAGTGTGGTGTAGTGATAGCACTGAACTTGGGACCTGGAAGATCCGGGTTCTAGTCCCCACTCAGTCCTGAAGCTCTCTGGATGACTTTGGGCCAGCTGTGGACTCTCAATCTAACCTACCTCACCAGGTTGTTGTGAGGCTAAAATGGAGCTATGTAAGCCATCTGGGGTCCCTACGGTTAGGGGAAAGGTGGTATATAAATGCAATGTAATAAGAGTGAGATTGGAAATAATAAAATCTACCATTCCATTATCTTTACTTCCCATGGTAAAGAATGAGCGACACTGGTAAACTAGACAGGCTGAACACTGTTCCTCATGTTGGAGCTTTCTTGTTTAAGCAAGAGTCCACATCTTCAAGAAACCCACACAAACCTAATTCCTGACACCCCAAAGGCTGACAGCAACATTTAGCAGGTGTGCATCGTAGTTGGAGTACTAGACTAAGTCTGTCCCTTGGGGTTGTTGTGTGGTCCATTGGCTGGATCAATTGGTTGGAGGATAAAAGTGGGAAGAGGGGTGGGAAAGACATCCAATAAATCAAAACAGAAAATCACTTGCAAGAGCCCTCTTCTTGTAAAAGAAAAAAAATCATTCACAAACACTCCCACCTGCATACTACATACTTTTCAATGGGGCTGGTTCCAGGTTTAGCGCACTTAGCAAACAGAGACCTTGTATGAATGCACACACATACACACCCCTGGTGCGAGTTAGAAGGGGAGAAATGGAGGAGGTTTACCCATTCCTTCCCTACGTTCTCATTCTGTTTAGAATCAGGAGTATCCACAGTTCCAGTAAAGGAAAAGAAGATATCTAAACCTTTCGTTGCCAGCAGTAACAGCATTAAGCTTGCATCTGCTGGCAGCCTGGGTATTTGGGGCCATGCCCCTTTCCGTTGGAAGGCAGCCTCCAGGAATTTTTCAAAATAGAATTTGGCCCTCAAGCTGAAAGGGTTCAATAGCTTTGCTCCAGCACTGCATCAGTTTGTGGGCAGCTGCCAGAAGGTCAGGTTCCCCTTAGGGCTGTTCTCTGCAATGATTTGGATGGACACACACACCACCATCTCCAGGCCCAGGGTATGGTGTGAATGCACACAAGGCATCCACCATCTTGAAGCTAAGCAGGTCTGTGGCTGACCTGAGCTCGGAGGGGAGACCACCTGGGAACTGCATGTAGCTATCTTGAGTTTCACAATGGGAGGAAGATGGGATTATTCAATAAATAAAGAGTTTGTGCCTGATACCAATGGCTGGATAGAAATAAACTTATAAAATGGCTTCTCTTCATGCCCGTGTCTTCTACAGCATTGCCTATAACCTTTACTTAAAGGCCACTTTGGTGCTGCTTGCTGTTTTGCTGCTCCCTTAAGGAACAGTTACAGCCCATTTTTCCTGTCTGTAATGAGAAACTAAAATATATAAGTTAAGTTACTTTCAAAATGATGTCCCTGCTGAGTGTAACGCAATTAAATGGAAAACCTGATTCGCAGCACAGAGGCTTTAAACCTGAAAAGTCATGCATTGGGCACAAGAGAACAAAGGAAAGATGAAACAGTCTGCCCCAGAATGGAAAATGCTCATGAAAAGAATATGTTGTTTTCTTGGCCCTGTAGAGCTGAAAGTTTCCCCCATGGGTGTCTTGCCCACATCACTACCAAGAGGGTTCTACCTAATTTAATGCTTTTCTCCAACCTGGTGCCCTCCAGAGGATTGCAAGTTCCATCAGCCACAACCCACATGGTCATCAGCTGTCACCTGAGCTTCAATAGTGTCAGATAAGACAAACTGGGGGATCATCAGAGGATGGCCAGTGATGAGTGAGGTCCCCCAGGGCTCTGTCCTGGGGCCGATCCTGTTCAATGTTTTCATCAATGACCTGGAAAAGTGGGGTGAGCAGTCTGCGGATCAGATTAGCAGATGATACTAAAATGGGGGCGGTGGCCACAACTGAGGAGCAGGTACTCCAGATCCAGAAGGATCTGGACAGACTATGGAAGTGGGAAGAGGACAACAGGATGCTGTTCAATGTGGGTAAGTGCAAGGTCTTGCATTTGAGGCAAAGGAATGGGTGTCATAAGAACAGGTTAGGGGACAAGAGCCTGGAGAACAGCACTTGTGAAAAGGACCTCGGGGTACTGGTTGATTGCAGGCTAAACATGAGTCATCAGTGTGATGCGTTGGTCAAGAGGGCAAATGCCACCCTTGGTTGCATATCCAGAAGCATGGCTGCTAGATTGAGAGAGGTATTATTACCACTTTTTATGGTTCTGGTGCACCTGCAACTGGAGTATTATGTTCATCCTAACGTAGTCCACCTCTGCAGCATGGGAGAGAAGAGACCGGAAGTCACAGTTAGCAAAGATGCCCTAGCAGGCATGAGCATTGGAGCTGTTCCTCTAGAGATCTAGCCCTCCCATGATACAGAATGAAGTGGCGCCGATGCTGGCTTTTGTCCTCAAGCTCCTGGCCATTCCCCCTCTGCCAGAAAACAAAGTTCTCTATGCCTTATGGCCTATCCACGCCCCCCAAACCAGCCTGCTGACTCAGATGCCATGGGGAATACTATCCCTCATCCATGCTGAAGTGAGATTCATCTGTCGCTTCCATCAGCATTTGTACATGAAAGATGGAACTCATCTTGGCCTTTCCCAAGGGGGGTGGGGAATGGGATGCCCTATTCACCAACCCAAAGGGAAAAGAAGAAAGGCAATTTGTCTTCCCAATTTACCCATAGTGCTCCCCACCAAAATCAAGACAATCTTTACCATGTTTGACAGCACGCCTTTAACAGGACATTATTTCTGGGACAGCTGAAAGAAAGGAGCTTGGCCATGAAGCAGCAATTTGGAGTATTGTGTTTGTTTGTTTGTTTGTTTGTTTGTTTAGAAAATTTCTATGCCACCCCATTCACCGAAGCCTCAGGGCGGCTCACAAAACAAGACATGTGTTAAGTCTCACATGTCATGCATCATATGCCATCCTGTTATAGCAGAGCTCTATGCTTTCTTGTGAGCAAAAAGATCTCTCAGGGCTCACAAAGGTTAATACAGATATGAATAATACCAAATACAAACAGTGAAATCGACTCACAGAAGGGCAGGACTGCGAGACCTCAATCGCATCTTAGCCATGTGTTTAGCGAGTGCCAAACACATCCCGCTCCTTACTGGTAAGAAAAGAAATGGAACCATCCTCCCCAAAATGAGGAAAGAGAACAAAAGAAATGCTCTCAAAGGGATTCTCCCCTTAGGGCACTAGCCTTGCAGACAGCAGCATGTTCTGAGAGTCCTAGGAAAAGAGTGGAGCTATGATGGATCGAGGAGGCCAAAGGCTCAAGAAAGGAAAAACAAGAAAGAAGGAGGCTGTTGAAAAACCTTACACTGGACAGAATTTTTCCTTACAGCCTGCAGTTCCTTGTTCTACTTTATGTCACAGCGCAGAGTTCAGGTTGCCTTGCTCGCCACTGCCAAAAAGAATGCCTAGGTTTGCATTAGAGCTTTTAAACTGCTTTACATTTACCCCTGAAATCTGTGTTACATTGTGCGGATGGTTTTCCAGTGGCATCTTGCCTCCTCCTGTTGACATCCAGGTGAACACATATTCGGAGTAAGGGACGTATAAATGAAGGAATGCCTTGCAGATGGGGTGGCTTTCTGCTGTGTGTTTAGGGCAGGAATCGTGTTTGTGCAAAACAGCAACTGCTCTTTGCTTCTCAATCGGCTACCTCGCCTGGCTGATGCCCAAAGCCTCATCTCTTCGTCTCTTTCTCACCTCTTGCCTCCCTCTCATTTCTTCCATAACCTTGAACTTATCTCATTGAAAACAAACGGGCAGTTTCAGGAATGATGCTAGGCAGACGAAGAGAAGAAGACCAATGATGGCATGCAGTTTACAAAGCTGAGCAGGGCTGTCAACAGCGGGACAAGCTGGTGTGCTTTCATTCAAAGCCTCCATTGCCATAAGCTGGAGATGATCGACAGCACATCACAACAGCAGCAAAAGGTCAAGACTGTAACAAGAGAAGCATGATTTATCAGACACCTCATTCTTTCTGGTTGAAAACCCCTTTCTTTAACTTCAGTTGCAGTTCTTCTTCTTCTTGTTGTTGCTATGCATCGTTACTCTAATCATAATAAACTACTGATGTGATGCAGTGAAAAGAAGGGCTGGAACTGCTGTGCCTCTCTGATCATCTTTTCTGAGGCAAGCCATGTACCTCTTGCCCTGTCAATCTCATGCGCATCGTCCGCAGGCTTGAAGGTAGCGTAATGATTTTCTGTATAGCCGATCCTGACCTTATTTGGGTGACGCTGATTGTGTGAGCTTAAAATAAGCTCACTCTGCTATTAGTTAGTGGTCCGATTCAATGTCATCTGCATAGAAAGTGCAGATGTGACTGGAAATTTAAATGGATAACTCTGTGGAGAGCAAATTTCTAAAGGTCTCACAGGGCCCTGAAAGGGAAAAGGACTCTATAAGTTTCACCACAAAATATGAGCTGGGCAGGTGGTAATGAACTCAGAACTACCATATTGCTGCTGGAATCCTGCACAGTTGCACTAAGTATCCAAATTCAAGAGCTTCATGGGTGGGGATAACCACATCGGTCCTTTTCTCTAGGGTCATAGAGAACCTTTTGTGCAACCCAAATGGAAGCCTTGTTTCCAGCCATGGCAACGTCCTTCAACGTCAGTAGCAGTAACAGTGCCTGGTAACCTGGATTGTATTTCTTCCTTGAGAATGAAAATGCACGCATGATTGCTAGAACCTTTCTCTCAGATGTGCTCAGGGTACCATGTGTTTGTGATTTCTGTAGCTCTTGAGCTGGCGTTGGAAGCAACCCTCAATCTGTTGATGAGTTGAGGAGTGGCGTTGGAGGAATAGCAGAGCCACCAAAGACATTTTGGGGGCCTCCTGCTGAATTTAGATCG